GATTATTATAATTCTAATGAATAATTTAGAATTGATGTATTATTGTGTTTAAGCTATATAATGTAATTTTTTAATGTATTAAATGTATTCTTTAAAACCTTGTTGAGTAGTTTTATTTATATAATAAAAATTTAATTGTGGTTAATATTGTATTTAATAGAAATGCTATAAATTTAAAATGGACTGTTTTGCAAATAGTATAAATGAAAGGTGATATTCCTAATTTTGAAATAAAGATAATATTAAAAATATTCTTTTGGAGTAGAAAATGGAGTAATACATTGGAGTAAAACTCAACTGCATTTTGGAGTTACTCCATTTTAGAGTAGAAAATGGAGTAATACATTGGAGATGCTCTTATCCCAAATCCCAATGATGTTATCATACGTCTGAAGTTAAAAAGTTATACACAAAAACAATTTAAATGAAGGAGAAATTGTTGGTGTTGGTGTTGGTGTTGGTGGAATGAAAGTCATGATGCAGATTGTGAAACAAAATGGATATACATAAGGAGATTAGAATCATTCTTGTTGACTATATTTTTTTCTACGTTCTACCTCTCAAAATTCAGAAAACCAACTGTTTGAAGAAATTATCCAATTAGTTTGGTTCTTGTCAAAAACAATGAAATGATAAACCTACGTGAGCATTTTATTTTTGCATGCGATATATCATAAGTGTAAGTTTGAGAAGTTTTGTTTAGAAGTTCAATAGGGGATATCTACAAATACTAGGCAGAACGAAATAAAAATTATTCCAAATTCATAAAATAAAAAAATTTGTTGATTTTTTTAATAAATCGTCTACATTCCCTAAAATTTCAGAGTGGATCCTGTTCAGTACTCGATGGAAATATTGATACAACAATCCATAGTTTTAAATCACATCATAGAAATTATTTAGTTATTTTTCTTGCTTAAATTTGGATTATCCTACGTTTACACACACAAATCTTATATAGTCTCGTACGTATAAGACAGCTAGTCATATGAATAGTACATATGTGATGACGTTGTTAAAGATATATGTTTAAAGTTCCGACAATGATGTCCCAGCTTACATCCTTATCCAGTTTCTTGAAGCATATTCCCCAAAATCTTAATACGACAAAACAGAAAAGGTAATAATCCATCATAAAAGATATGTTTAGGTCAAGTTCGGCAGCTATAACATCATGTTCCATGAAGCTTCCTATTTCCATTTACACAAGGACTTAGATAAACAACTAGAAGAAAGTATAATGTCGATTTGTCTTATATAATAACAAATTCAGATCAAGTCCAGATACAATTTATCTGATTTTTATAATAGAAAACAATATTTATTATTATTGGGTTGGAGAGACCGGATAGTTAAGTCTCATTGGCATTTAATTATTTACGTAAAAATACGTGTATGAAACTATGTGACTTGTATAAATATCTACGTTCTTTATCAACAAAACGAAAATTGAGAAAAAGTCATGTTTGACCAAAACAATTTATATATATTCTTCATTTACTAATACAAATATGAAGTCCATATCTTAAAAACACAATGTCGAATAGAACATTAATGATAGTAAACGTAAGTAATATCATCATCAAACGGGGAACAAGCTAACGTCAGCCTCTCATACACCTACCACAACTTTCTATTTAAAGATTTTTAAATAGAAGATTCACGTGCCTTATTTAAAATTGAGTCCCTACGTAATGCGGTTTAATTAGTACTTAACTAAAGATTGAACAACGGGTTATATAATAATTCTTGTAAACATTGTTTTATATATAAAACTTTAGCCGAAGTGAAAACACATTTTTAAAACTTAAACCGGTGACTAAGAGGTGATTGAACCTGAACCAAACATGGCCGACTCTAAAATTTTGGAAGCCTTAGGTAAATTTTTAAAAATTTTAGCTAAATTTTTTTCTATCTAATTTGGAAATCTAAAAGAAAAATTTGAGATTTTTATATATATATATTATTTAAAAATTTCGAGGACCTAAGACAAATGTTTTAACTGGCTTAGTCCAGGACCAGCTCTAAACCAATAGATACAAACGTTGGATGAGGTCACACACCATGACGAATCCGCTGCGGAGAAGCTCATCTTAGTTTAATCAACTCTCCAATCACAAGATAAATACAAAACTTCCACCACAAGAAATGCTGACTTCTCTTCAGCAAGTGTCTCATTGTTTTGGGTTGACTAAAGTATAACAAAAGTATCAACTCTCCAATCACAAGATACATACAAAACTTCCACCACAAGAAATGCTGACTTATCTTCAGCAAGTGTCTCTTATTCTTTTTGGGTTGACTACTATGTAACTAAAAGTAGTGGCTGCTGAGATATTATACTTTTATTACAAAACATAAAATGTCTTAAAATTGGTGTAAGTAAAGGAACAAAATGGATAAGCCACACTAAGGTGTTGACAGTTGAGCCAGTCAACAATCCACGAGGGCTGCGAAGTGACGTACGCAATGACATCATCATCATTGCCTTTCATTAAGTCGATCATCCACTAAGACTACGCCACGTAAGCCTACGGTCAGCGTAGAAAAGAAAAACGGTATCATTTGCCGCACGTGCTTGTGATTATAAACCTCCACGTGTCATCCTTTTTAATTTTAAATTAATTTCCTTCGGCTATTCTCGTCCTTATAAAACCTTCGTCGCCTCACACTCATCTCCTCGATTCCAATCTTCAGCAGACGACGAAACTCAAATATTCGAAGAACGAAACAAATTAAAAAAAAAAAAGAAGAAACTTTTCGAGAATGAAAGCAGAGCTAAACTTACCAGCAGGATTCAGATTCCATCCCACAGACGAAGAGCTTGTGAAATTCTACTTAATCCGGAAATGCGCATCGGAACCGGTCTCAGCTCCGGTTATCGCCGAAATCGATCTCTACAAGTTCAATCCTTGGGAGCTTCCAGGTAAAAAAAATCTGATGAAGTTTCTAAAAGTTTCTCGAGAATCATTGTTTAATCGAGAGATTTGTTCTTTTTTTTTTTATTACAGAGATGTCTCTGTACGGAGAGAAAGAGTGGTACTTTTTCTCACCACGTGACCGGAAATACCCAAACGGTTCACGTCCTAACCGGGCAGCAGGAACCGGTTATTGGAAAGCTACGGGAGCTGATAAACCGATCGGTAAACCGAAGACGTTGGGTATAAAGAAAGCACTCGTGTTCTACTCTGGGAAAGCTCCAAAAGGGATTAAAACGAATTGGATTATGCATGAATATCGTCTCGCTAATGTTGATAGATCAGCTTCTGTTAACAAAAAGAACAACCTACGAGTATGTTCTGTCTTTTTTATTTATTTTTTTGATTTATTAATTTATTTTTATTTTTATTTTTTTAAAAATATTTATTTTTCACTTTCTTTGTGAATGTTATGATGGTTTTAGATTATTAATTTTTTTTTTTTGTTTAACAGCTTGATGATTGGGTGTTATGTCGGATATACAACAAGAAAGGAACCATGGAGAAGTACTATCCTGGGGATGATAAACCGTTGACCATGACGGATCAGTCAACATCACGTTTTGATACATCGGAGTTGACATTGCAAGAGGATGATTCGAGCAGCTCGGGAGGTCACGGACACGTGGTGTCACCGGATGCAAAGGAGGTTCAGAGTGAGCCTAAATGGAGAGAGCTTGAGGATGCTTTGGAGGCTTTTGATTCTTCCATGTTTGTTGGTGGTGGTTCAATGGATTTGTTGCAGAGTGATGCTTTTGTTCCTCAGTTCTTGTGTCAGCCTACTGATTATTTCGATTCGTTCCAGGATACGTTTGAGCAGAAACCGTTCTTGAATTGGAGTTTTGCTCCACAGGGTTAAAGGAAGATGTTTGTCAGTGTTGTGAGAAGTTTCTCAATCATCTTTTGTTTCTTAGTAGTAAAAAAAGATTGTATAGTGTTGATAGTTGTTAGCATCAATGTCTCATTGATAGGCAAATTCTTGTAATCATCAGAAAATTTTATATGAAAAAGTACACATTCTTCAAGATGTTGTTGCATTTATGTAGATACTGATAGAGATATATAGAACTCTTTTACCAAAAAACTAAAAAAAGAAGATATATAGAACTCTAGAGCTAACTTATAGGTTTAGAATCTTCATATTGGCAAACAATGCCTTTTGTCACAAGGCTTAGGAGTCTTTTGACTCTGGTCTTCTTGGACAATGGTCTTCTATGCGCAAGGCCTGCCTTGGACCCGACGCTAGCTAAAGGACAAGTGAGCTTAGCTGAGTGGGCACCATACTGCTACAAGAAAGGCATGTTTGATCAGATCGTTGATCCTTATCTCAAAGGCAAGATCACAATAGAATGCTTTAAAAAGTTTGCTGAAACAGCGATGAAGTGTGTACTAGACCAGGGAATTAAGAGACCGTCGATGCATGGGAGATGTTTTGTGGAACTTAGAGTTCGCTTTGCAGCTTCAGGAAAGCGCAGAGGAGAGTGGGAAAATGACTCAGACCTGTTCTTCATTAGCTCAAAAAACATACCAATGACGTAAGTTATAGGTAATAGGGATATTTGTCACCATCGTCAACAGAGGCTAACGAAAAACTTAACTAGTTTCTGAAACAGCTTTCAGCTTCCTTCTGCTAGTCTTTCCTCTGCACTGCTTCTGCATTTTCTCCCTGCAAATGCAGACATACACAGTGGGATGTCCTTTTTTTCGTACTTATTTCGGTCTAGAGTGCGCTTTGCATTCATCACTAAACAAAATCAGAAAGATTTTCATCGGTTCCCCATCCTTACAAAACGAAATTGTCATTACAAGTGGGAAGAGAGTGAAACATCAACATTTGTCTCCTTTATTCCAAGTCAAAAACTACAACGAATGAATCTGCTTTTTTCTTCTCGTACTATCTCTCACACTCACAATAATGGAAATCACAATGCATTTTCAGCTCAGCCTAAAACATTGCCTTTGTTTTTCTTTTCGTTATTGTCAACAAAAAACAAAGATGAAGATGGTGAAGTATTAAGCATCCATCAAGCTCTTAAGCCGCTGACTCCTTGGAGATCTTCTCGGCCTTGGCAACCACCTCGTCAATGCCACCAACCATGTAAAATGATTGTTCAGGAAGATCATCGTACTTACCATCAAGCAGACCCTGTACCAATCAACAATTCATATAAGCTCATAATACAGCAAACAAACATGGAAGTCATTAGGGAATATATATACCTGGAAACTGTTGATGTTTTCCTTAAGGTCGACGTATTTTCCGGGGGCACCCGTGAAGATCTCAGCAACATGGAAGGGCTGACTCAAGAACCTCTGGATCTTACGGGCACGGGCAACGGTAAGCTTGTCATCTTCACTAAGCTCATCCATTCCCAGAATGGCAATAATATCTTGCAGATTCTTGTAATTCTGTAGCACCTTTTGCACACCACGAGCCGTGTTGTAGTGCTCCTCACCCAAAATGTGAGGCGAAAGCATACGGGAAGTTGAATCCAGAGGATCCACAGCAGGATAGATACCAAGCTCAGAAATCTTCACATGGGAAAAACAAAAGTCAAAATAAGTCAGCTTTATGAGTTTTCCACCAAAAAAAAATTCTGAGAGTAACATCATCAAGAGACAAATTCACACCTGTCTAGAGAGCACAGTTGTGGCATCCAAATGAGCGAAAGTTGTTGCTGGAGCAGGATCTGTCAGATCGTCGGCAGGGACATAGATGGCTTGCACTGAGGTGATGGAACCTTTCTTTGTGGTTGTGATTCTCTCTTGTAGAGCACCAAGATCAGAAGCCAAAGTTGGCTGGTAACCCACAGCAGATGGGATACGTCCAAGCAAAGCAGACACTTCAGAGTTGGCCTACACAAGAGTTAAAATTTTACAATCTCTTCACTTATGTACAACATACATGTGCTGAGAGAAGAAGCAGACATCAAGTCTCACCTGGGTGAAACGGAAAATGTTGTCAATGAAAAGCAACACATCTTGGCCTTCAGCATCACGGAAATACTCAGCAACAGTCAAACCAGTGAGTCCAACACGGGCACGGGCACCCGGGGGCTCGTTCATTTGTCCGTACACAAGAGCACATTTGCTCTCCGACTGTAAAGATGGGAAAAGAAAGAGAATATAGCAACAAAAATCAGTCAAATGCCATTCCCCAGGAAAAAAAAGAAGGTGAACACTAATCCAAACCTGCTTCTCGCCTAGCTTGATGACACCACTCTCAATCATTTCCCTGTACAAGTCATTGCCTTCACGGGTTCGTTCTCCCACACCAGCAAACACGGAGAAACCACCTGTTCATCCGAAGAAGTACAAACTAATCAAATAAAAGCGGATTTCCACTGTAGAAACTACTTCAAAAGATCCTTGAGAAAATACATACCATGAGCTTTGGCGACATTGTTAATAAGCTCCATGATAAGCACAGTTTTCCCGACACCAGCACCACCAAAGAGACCAATCTTTCCTCCTCTTTGGTAAGGAGCAAGCAGATCAACGACCTAAAAACAAAAGCAACAAACGTTAGCTTAGAACACTGAACGAAAACATACGTTTAAATGGAAACAACGCAGAGCTAGGGACAAGAATCAACCTTAATACCAGTAGCAAGGATCTCTTGCCCTGTAGCTAGATCAACCAAAGCTGGAGCATCTCTGTGAATAGGTAGGTAGTGTTCGGTCTCTGAAAAACAGCAACATTACATTGTAATGACAGGTTTGCAAAAACGTGAGACATTGATTAAAGGCTAAGGCTAAGACTACTTACTAATCTCGCCTCTTTCGTCAATAGGTTCTCCAAGCACGTTCATAATACGTCCAAGCGTAGCCCTTCCAACAGGCACCTGAGCCAACAAACAAACCCCAAACACTCAGATTCACACATCATAACAAACAAACCTATCATAAAAATCCAAACTTTCAATAAGTCAAAATGTCAAACACAGATCTAAACCAATAGATCAAAAACCAAAAACCTCCTTACAGTAATCGGAGCGCCAGTGTTGAGCACGCGCCTCCCACGAACAAGCCCCTCAGTACCATCCATAGCAATAGTCCTCACAACATTCTGCCCCAAATGATGAGACACCTCAAGCACCAGCCTCGTGGGATGATCCTGCACCTCCAGTGACGTCATGATCGGAGGCAAACCTTCCTGATCTTCGAATCTCACATCCACAATAGCACCGATGACCTGGCAAACCTTCCCGATCGCGCCTTTTCCTCCGTAATCGTAAGTCTTCTTCGCCGCCTCATCCTTAGCTGGAGCTGGAGGAGGAGCTGGTGAAGAGGTTGAATACTCGGCCACGCGGCCGAGGAGGGTCCCACATGGAGCGAGGCAACGAGCAGGGGAAGGAGACGGGAGCCTAGGGTTTCGGGTCCCGAATTTGGCGGCGGATCTGGTTTGAGATGATGAACGGAGGAGAGATGATAAGATTCGTCGACTCGCCATCAGTGTTGAGATCGAGGGAGAGAGAGAGAGTGCGGCTAGGGTTTGAAAATGAAATGTTCGTTGCGCTCTTCTCTATAACCAACGTAGACCACTTCTTCAGTGACGCGTGGTTTGATTTGGATGGTGACACGTGTAATTTCCTGATTGTTTTCCATATCAAGCTATTTGTTGCGAAGGAAATAATCAAAACGTGATTTCTCACACCGTATGTAATAAAATTTCAACACTTCAGACAGACAGCAAGAAAACAAAAGGAAAATAGATATGTGCATTTTATCCTGTGCATTTTTTTTTTTTGGGAGAAGGGGTTTGGGGGAGGGAGTTTCAATTTATTAAGTTTGTTACCATTTAAAAACATTTTTCTTAATAATAGTTAAATTCATAAATATTTAAATTTATGATAAAAATATTAATTTAACCCTCAAAAATCATTAATAAATATTTAAGAATAATTTATTAATTAAACCTCATCTTATAGTTACTATATTCTAAAAAATAATACATAAATCCAAGTGTTAAAATATTTACTGATTAAATGTATATTTGAAACAATATTGTCAACTATTATAGTATTTTAAGCAATTTTTTGTGTGGTGGATGTAAATATTTTGTTAATCATTTGTTACTTTCAGATTATTTTAAATCTCAATGTAATTATTTTGTTATTTATTTGTGCTTGGCATGATCTTTAAAAATTAGACTTTGACCTCTAAAATTATAATTTTGTTAACGTCAATTTAGAAACCCCAAACCAAAGGTCACTTTCTTGTTTAGTTATTGCCCTCTTGGTCCTAAAGTTTCCATGGATATATTTTCAATTTAATAGGCCCAATAAAAGCCCATTCTAAAGCCCATCAGATACAACGAGTGAAGCTTAGATCCAGGTTCTTATATTTACCCTAGGATCTAACTCTCACTCTCACACACATACGACAACAAAACTCATGGCGTCTCGGAGAGTCTTATCATCACTTCTCCGTTCATCATCCTCCGGCAGATCCGCCGCCAAATTCGGGACCCGAAACCCTAGGCTCCCGTCTCCTTCCCCCGCTCGCCACGCCGCTCCTTTCGCTAACATCCTCGGCCGCGTCGCCGAATACTCCACGACCTCTTCCCCAGCTCCTCCTCCTCCAGCTAAGGATGAATCCCCGAAGAAGACTTACGATTACGGCGGAAAAGGCGCGATCGGGAAGGTTTGCCAGGTCATCGGTGCTATTGTGGATGTGAGATTCGAAGATCAGGAAGGTTTGCCTCCGATCATGACGTCACTGGAGGTGCAGGATCATCCCACGAGGCTGGTGCTTGAGGTGTCTCATCATTTGGGGCAGAATGTTGTGAGGACTATTGCTATGGATGGTACTGAAGGGCTTGTTCGTGGGAGGCGCGTGCTCAACACTGGCGCTCCGATTACTGTAAGTTATTCGGTTTTGGATAGATCTGGAATCGGGGGAGGGTGTTTTAGGTTTAGATCTGTGATTTTTGTTTTGATTCATTTCGTTACAGTCAACGTTGACTTTTGAAAAAAAAAACACTTTTTCCTTCAAAAGTATGTTACTTTACTATATTAGAAGTTTGTTACTTTGAAAGTTTGTTACTTTATTAGAAGTTGTATGTCCGAATGATTCTATTAATGTAGATGACTAATCATTCTTATGTTTGCACTGTAAAGGTTCCCGTTGGAAGGGCTACACTTGGACGTATTATGAATGTTCTTGGAGAACCTATTGACGAGAGAGGCGAAATTAGTAAGAAGTCTAATACACCTTTTTTATCAGTGCTTCTCTATCTGTGAACCTGCCATGAAAATGTGGTTTTGCTTTTTTTTTCAGAGACCGAACATTACTTACCTATTCACAGGGATGCTCCAGCTTTGGTTGATTTAGCCACTGGTCAAGAGATTCTTGCTACTGGTATTAAGGTAGATTCCTGGCTTTAGTACTGCGTTGTTTTCATAGGTTACACGTGTGTTGTCCTTCAATGTTCCAAGCTAACATTTGTTGTTTTCGTTCTAGGTTGTTGATTTACTTGCTCCTTACCAAAGAGGAGGAAAGATTGGGCTCTTTGGTGGTGCTGGTGTCGGGAAAACTGTGCTTATCATGGAGCTTATTAACAATGTCGCCAAAGCTCATGGTATGTATTTTCTAAAGGATCTTTTGAAGTAGTTTCTTCAGTGGTGATCCATTTTTAGTTTATTAATTGGTAGTTCTTGTGATGAACAGGTGGTTTCTCTGTGTTTGCTGGCGTGGGAGAACGAACCCGTGAAGGCAATGACTTGTACAGGGAAATGATTGAGAGTGGTGTCATCAAGCTAGGAGAGAAGCAGGTTTTCAAATAATTTTGACTAGCCTTTACCTTTCTCTTTTCCATCAAACGGCTTTTGATTGATCTTTGTTGCTAAATTCTCTCTCTTTTCCCATCTTAACAGTCTGAGAGCAAGTGTGCGCTTGTGTATGGACAAATGAACGAGCCCCCGGGTGCCCGTGCCCGTGTTGGACTTACTGGTTTGACTGTTGCTGAGTATTTCCGTGATGCTGAAGGCCAAGATGTGTTGCTTTTCATTGACAACATTTTCCGTTTCACTCAGGTGAGCCTTGTTGGTTGCGCCTTCTCTCAGCACATGTATGTCGTACATAAGTGAAGAGAGAGAGATTGTAAATTAACTCCGCTTAACTCTCATGTGTAGGCCAATTCTGAAGTGTCTGCTTTGCTCGGACGTATCCCATCTGCTGTGGGTTACCAGCCAACTTTGGCTTCCGATCTTGGTGCTCTTCAAGAGCGAATCACCACCACAAAGAAAGGTTCCATCACCTCAGTGCAAGCCATCTATGTTCCTGCTGACGATTTGACAGATCCTGCTCCTGCCACAACTTTCGCTCACTTGGATGCCACAACTGTGCTATCAAGACAGGTCTGAATTGTCTCCTGATAATGATATTTTCAGATTTATTTTTGTGGAAGGTTTCATAGAGCTGACATGTTTGCACTTTTGTCTTTTGTATTTGAAGATTTCTGAGCTTGGTATCTACCCTGCTGTGGATCCTCTGGATTCAACATCCCGTATGCTCTCTCCTCACATTTTGGGAGAGGAGCACTACAACACGGCTCGTGGTGTGCAAAAGGTGCTACAGAACTACAAGAATCTGCAAGATATTATTGCCATTTTGGGTATGGATGAGCTAAGTGAAGACGACAAGCTGACTGTTGCTCGTGCCCGTAAGATCCAGAGATTCTTGAGTCAGCCCTTCCACGTTGCTGAGATCTTCACGGGTGCCCCCGGAAAATACGTCGACCTTAAGGAAAACATCAACAGTTTCCAGGTATATATGCCACCCCTTATGACTTTCTTCCTTACTTCATATGATTGTTTGCTATATTATGAGCTTATATGTGATGTAAATCGTTACAGGGTTTACTTGATGGTAAGTACGATGATCTTCCAGAACAATCATTTTACATGGTTGGTGGAATCGACGAGGTGGTTGCAAAGGCAGAGAAGATCTCCAAGGAGTCAGCAGCTTAAGGAGATATGCTTAATACTTCTCTTTTCTTCTTTTGTTGACAATAACGAAAAAAAAAACAAAGCTTTAGGCAGTGCTGCTAATGCATTGCGGATTCCCATCATTTTGTGAGTGTGAAGAGCTGCGAGATCATGCTGAACATATTCACTCACTGTTACTCAAATTTTTGGTTCTTTTGCTTCCTTTTACTTGTTGAAATAAAAGTTTTAAGACTTGCATATTCTAGTTGCAATGTATGATTATGATTTATTGATCTGTGTCTGTGGTGAAGTCTTAATATGATCGATCATCAGCGTAAATTGAAACCATACGAGGCAATATTTCATCCATATGGTTTGAGTCGGGTTGGGTGTGTCAGATGTGGGTGGACTGATCCGGGTAGCATGTGGCTCAAAATTCTTTAAGAAGAACCAAAATTTCCCTCGAAATCTTAAAAGTCTACAGTGTCAAGGCCATGGCTTCTGCTATGGACTTATCTCCTACTCCAACGTTCTTCTTATGCAGAACTTCCTCTTCTTCTTCATCTCTTCGTCGTCTCTCCTCCATCTCAGTCTCTAACTTCCTACGCCACTTTAACCGGAGGTTAAAGATATTTTGTCAAGCCACAGCCGGAACTCAGCATCAGAGCGGCCTCTCTGACTCTGGGTCTAAACTAGCCGCCCGTTCTGGCCAGGACCGTCTTTTGAAGGTCTGATTCTGTTTTCTTAATTCTCTCTGCGTCTCTATGTGCAGATAATCAAGTTGGATATCTCGGAATTGTATTGAAAACTGCAGGTTCCGATTTCAAACATCAGGAAAGAGTATGTACATTGAGGGTTCATAAGAGGTTTATAAGGGGGTTCACACAGTTTTCTAGATAAACAGTGATGAAGTTCTCTCTCCAAAAGTTCATCCCGGTGAACCCCAAGAGGGTAGAGTTCACCACGTGTCGGAAGGAGATTGATTCAATTAATTTTTTTTTAATTTTTGTTTTTTAAAATCTGACAAAAAAAAAAAAAAAATTTAAAGATGAACCCTAAGAGGGGTTCATTGATGTACATGCTATCATAGCACATATTGATCATGGGAAGTCTACGTTGGCGGATAAGTTACTACAAGTGACTGGTACAGTTAGAGATATGAAAGAACAGTTTCTTTAACGGTTGTAAACGAAAAGGTTAGAAAATGATTCTAGGCCCAAGTAAGAAAGAGCTAAGGCCCAGTACATCCATTTAATGGGCTTAATTGATTAAATTGGAAAAGATATAACTGATGGCTCCAACACAACAACACCTGTACATATATATAAAGCGGAGAGTTATTAACTTATTAATAAGTCTTCGTCGTTCCCATAAAGAACGACGACTGACGCGAGCGAGCGAGCGAGAGACTGGAGACGCGAGAGAGATCTAAAGCAACCGTTTTCGTTATTCGCGCGGCACTTCTCTCTCTCTCTCTTGCCGTCGACGACGCGTACTCCGAGCTCCATACATTTCTCTGTAAGATTCGATTCTCTTTCTCGATGTTAATTCTGGCGGGAAAATCGATTGTGTGTTGAGATTTTGCTTTCTTCATTTGTGAGCTTTGCATTGTGGTTTCGAATTGTTTTACGACTCTTTGTGTGTGTGTGTGTGTGTGATGAGGATTGTGATTGTGTTCTTCCTTGTTGCAAATTTGATTTGCTTTTTGGATGTGTGTAATTTATATATCATTGGTTTCTTCGCTTTCTCGTTGATCGTAACGGACGCATGATAGTGATTTACTTTTCTTGATCTTGGGTTTAGGGTTTCTTTCGTTCATTTCGTTTCGGTTCTTTGATTATTGATTTGAAACTGGTACCACTCAGTGAATGAGTTCAGATTTTTTTTCTGAATTCGATTGGGATACGATAGTTTTAGGGTTTATTGTTGTTTCGATTTCTGCATTGGTGTCCTGAAATGTAATTTCCTTGGGGGTTTCTTTTTTCAGATGATCTCACAAGTCCCACTTGCTTCTTCTCTATGGTCTCTCTTGAATCAGACCTTGAAATTAGAATTATCTCTAGGGATCATTTGCCTGTGGGTTAAGTATCTGGTTTTCCAAGGCTTACATTTTCTAGTTTGGAAAGAAATTTTTGTGCAATGTGACAGAAACACTCTTGCTTTTGCTTGCATGCCTTGCCTTTGTTGCGTCCATCTGTGACTACATTTCCTTGATGTTTATGGATTGTTGTACACCACAGGAGGATGCCTTTGCTGAAAAAGAAGTCACATAAACTAGTTGAGCCCCCAAATGGCTTGGAGCCATGCGAACTTGTTTATCAAGTTCGTCTCACAAAGGAGATTTTCCGAGATTATCAGTATCCTTCTTTTATAGCTTTTTGGGTTTCTGAATTGGGAAAAAAGGGACTACCTTTTTTAACTTATGTTTTTGATATTTTCATTCCTTATACTCGTGCAGTTAGAGGAATCATAAATAGCCTTAATTGCAATGCTGTTTCATTCATTCATATTATCTTTCAAAGGCTTGGTTGTTCATGTTTATCAATGCAGATGCCGCGTTAGAGCCATTTGTTTGCTTAACATAAACATAGATTGTACTTGAAGAGGATAAATCTGTATCGCCAGCGCGTTTGGACATGCAAATCTACTGGTAAAACTAGCTTGACTTACGAAGAGGCCTTAGAGTCAGAAAAACTGACAAGCAAGAAGGTTCAAACTCTGCCCAGAGAGCTAGTGGCACCTGCTTTAAGTATCATCCAGTTCAGTAAGTTCTTAACCCTTTCCTAGATTATGGTTCATCTTCTGATATAATTGTGTCAGAGTATTTACGTATCATCCAGTTCAGTAAGTTCTTCTCTTGGTTTGGCACTATATCTGATTTTTTTTTCTTCCATTTTTGTATAGGTACACTCTCATTGAAAGATCTTGCTGACACAATTGCGACAAAGCTGCAAAATTGCTTTTTCCCTGGTGCAGAGTTGTATGTGAACAGGGATGGCGAACTGCATCCATGCAGAATCTTGGAGATAGTAACAGATGGGGATGGTGAACCTCAGTATAAGGTAGGCTTCCTTGACAAAGATAAGGAAATAAATGAGAACGCAGTGCTGTCTGGGGAGGATCTTACATGGAAGAAATTTCCATTTAGTAGAAATTTTCTCAAGTCTTTCATTCGGGAGTCCACATGCCACAGTATACCTTGGGTAGTTAATGAATATCTGGCTAAAGCACATGGAATCACTAGAAAGGTTCCCAAGGAACTTCAGGACAAATATGTCTTTCAGAATGGAGAACTCGTTCAGCAAAGGAAGCAGGTAAATGTGAAGTATAACACCATACAGTAATTTTGTAGCGTTGATTAGTAATTAGTCTATTTGCTAAATTGGTTTCGATCGCTAAACTATAGGATGATAAAACCGGAAGGGAAAACGGAAAAAGAAAGAGAGCAGAAAATGATAGTCATATTGCAGAAGAGACATATAGAGGTAGCTTTGTATTAATGCTCTGCAATTCATCATGCAACTCTTCTGTATACATTTTATACTGATTTCTTTGTATATTATTGTCTTTCCAGATGTTAATCAGCCAGAGAAAGAATCTATCAATTATCCAATTGAAGATTTACTGTTGCCACCTGATTGTGGTGATGCTGGTATCACTCAGCGTCCTCCGCTTTCACGGGATTTTAATGTGTCTATGGATTGTGCTGGGGATCTTCTTATGGTCTGGAACTTTTGTTCCTCGTTTGGTCGGCAGCTGCATCTATGGCGATTTTCTCTTGAAGACTTTGAAAATGCTGTCTGCCACAAGGAGAGTAATTTGGTTCTGATTATGGAAGTGCATGCCTGTCTTTTCCGATTTCTCATCAATGAAGATGGTGATAATTTCAAAGCTTTAAAGAAAAGGAGTCGCAAGTCAAAGGTCAGATCTTCATCTCATCTTAACAAAATAGGTCGCAGATTATCTTTTATTGTTGATGGCCTGCTTGTTGATTCATTTTAAATAATTTCAGATAACATTGATCACATGGACAGAGTATTTATGTGACTTCTTGGAATCAGTTGAGTCGCCTGGTTTGTGCTTTGACATTGGAACAATCAAACGGGGACATTATGGTCTCTTGGACCCCAGTGTAAAACTGAAAATTCTAAGGGAATTAGTGAACCATATAGCTGAAACAATTGCGTTCAAGGGGGAAATAGACAAGCTTGTTGAACAACGGCATACCCTTGGAGCTGCTAGAAGAGAAGAAGCATTGGCAGAAGCCCGAAAGAAAAGAGAGGAGAAAGAACGCTCAAAAACTGGCGAGGAATCTGATGGAATTTTGGATAATAGCCCACAAATAACAGAAAGCAGTGAAGACAGCAAAAAGAAAGAGAGCTTTGAGTGGAAAATCAAGATGGAGAATGGGTCTGTCTCTTCGAAAAGAAATGAAAAATCAGAGAAAAGGTTTGGCTTATCCTATATACGCATATGCAGAACATTTTTTTATCAGACCACTTGGGAGCTCATAAATTTTTTTGTAATGATAGGCTTATGGGGAATGTCTATCTAAGAAAGCACAAAAGGCAGATGACGGATACAAAAATCACAACGAAGGAGGAGGAAGAAGAGGAGGAAGAGAAGGGAACTTCTAGGAAGAAGCAGCGTGGAAGATCTTCAAGTGAAGACGAGAAGGGAACATTAGAAAGGAGAGGCCCTGAACAGAGGGTTAGTCCTTACCCTCATAATGATTTTTGATATGTGGTTTTTTTGCATGTTCTTTGACCTATCAAGTCTGAACTTTTTTTGTTTACATGCAGAGGCAATATTATGAACGAGAGATGGAGAAAATAGTCATACGTACAAACCCCTTGGGTAAAGATCGAAACTACAACAGGTACTGGTGGTTCCAAAGCAATGGGAGGATATTTGTTGAGGATTCTGATTGCAAAGAATGGGGCTATTATTCCTCCAAGGAAGAGGTATCATCAGCAAGTCACATGGTTCATTTTCTTTGTTTGATCATTTAATTGCATAGATCTTGTTCAAATTCGTGTTTTGTTTCTTGAAATCCAGCTGGATGCATTGATGGGATCACTGAACCGTAAAGGAGAGAGGGAACTGGCATTACATATGCAGCTTGAGAAATTCTATGACAGAATATGGTCAGTTTCGAGAAGCTTCCCACTTCTATTTTGCATTATTAATCTGTGGTCACTTGGTCATTTGTTCAGTGCTCACTCTGATGCAGTCTCATTGTTTTTGTGTGATGGCTTTGAAATCGGGTGGTGATTTGTTATTTGCAGCTCTACGCTACAAAAGAGGACGAAGGACATTGCTGAGGAGGACATAGAAATGGAAGAAGCAGTGGTTAGGAGATCTACCCGTGTAAGAGCTCCACTTCATGAAAATCCAGCTAGTGCATTCTTGAGATATGTTAACAAGTGGAAAGAGGAGTAAGCGTAGCAGAATTAGATTCTAATACTAGAAAAGCTTATAGTTGCAACCATAGACGGAATAGTTCCGGATTAAACATTTTGTAGGTAAAAATAGTGCCATTGAACAAGCAAAAAGCAAATGCTTAACAGAGAGATCGTTTTTTTTTATCATCATAACATTTGACCCCTTGTGCTTCTTAATCACCGAGAGCACACTCTCCGAAGATCTGACAGTATGTTTTGAGATAAGTTCAGAACCACTAGACAGTTGAAGAAACTAGTAAGTTTTCAGACATCAGTTCGGAAAATGAAATGACATGTACGAAGTAGTTTACTCTCTTTGGCTTTGAAAGAGTTACAGATCATTTTCTTTCTTTGAACCTTTATCAGGCTCTTGATAGGAAGAATGTGCCTCTTTAACATGCTTCTCGTATTCATCTTCTTCGTCTTCTTCTTCTTCCACTTCAGCTTCAACGTCTTCTTCATCTTCTTCCTCAGCACCTGAACCCAAGCTTTTGCTGACACTAGAAGAAGAAGCTGGATTCCTTGCTTCTCCAACTATCTTCATTATGTCCTCGATGCTTTGAAGAGAATAGCTCGTGTTGTCTCTCTTGTAATACACTGCTTGAGCCGACTCTACCAGCTCCTTTGGCAAGTTCTTCAAGTACCACGGATGATTCTTGATCTCCTTGAGCGTGATTCTCTGTCAAGAACATTATTGATAATCAGAACCGGAACAACATCTAGTTATAGTTTGAAATGGTTTTGGTACCTTAGCGGGGTTAGTGACGAATATGCGGGAGAGAAGGTGTTTGCATTCCTGAGATATGTGGACGTAGTCCGGGATCTTGTATTGTATAGCCATTATACGCTGAACAATACCATTTCAATTGTTAGATTACTTAGACACTGCGGGAAAAAAGAAGAGTAAATTAGAGTGGGGTTTACTTGGATTGTTTTCCTGAAATTCTTTGGATCGTTAGGATCTTCAAATGGGTAAGCTCCAACCAGCATCACATAAAGGGTTACTCCACATGACCACACATCCGCGTGCTACAAAAACGCAACCATATGAGTGCAAAAGCCAGTCTATGTGCTCTTGCTAATCATGACAAATATGATTATAGAGTTAAGACCCTATGCTTGGACAAGTGCAGAGGCTGGTCCATTTAAACCTTATTAGAATTACATAATAACCTGAAAAGTTTTACACAGATCCAGTACAAGTACAGTATATATAAAACCTGCTAGAGTATCTCTGACTTTGATTTCGCATATTATTCCGTAAATGAGATTATCTGCTTGCTTTGACAACCAATCATGTGTTAATGACAAAGACATGAGTCAGTGAGTGTACCTTGCCATCATATTCTCTCCGGGAAAGAACTTCAGGTGCTATGTATGCTGGAGTTCCAACAGTCGATTTAGGCCTAGAATGTAGTATAGATGACTACACAGAAAAAAAAAAAAGATTATAAGATTTAAGAGACGAGTGGATAGATAATGATAATCAGTAATGGATTGAGGACTGAGATCATTGGGGAAAGAAAAAAAAAAGGGGATAGTGAGTACGTACCTTAGAGTAACCAAAGTCACATATTTTCAAAAGTGGAGCAGGGCTTCCATCAAGCAGAGTGTTCTCAAGCTTCAGATCTCTGTGGCATATTTGCTGCACAAAAGAAAAAAAGAGAAGAGAAGTCAGTACATATCATGCAAATGCAACAGAGGTGATACAGATTCTAAACATCACAAAGCATCAAGAGTGGAAAACTGAGATTCTAAATGATTCATAATAAGATAAGTATGCAATGCATCACAAACTTTTACTTTTTTGGATTAACGAATACATACCAAGGAGTGGCAGTAGTCAACGCCACAAATCAGCTGTTGAAAGAAGTATCTAGCCTGAAAAGATAAAGATTATAAACAAAACTGATAAACATAGATCAAAAGATGAAAGAAAGTCTCCACGAACAGATAGATGAAAGTCCAAGACTTTAAAAAAAAATAAAAAGCACCTCAGCTTCACTGAATCTACCAGCAGTGCAGATTCGATCAAAGAGCTCTCCTCCAGAAGCATACTCCATCACAATACCAAGATGAGAAGGTGTCAGAATCACCTGAAACCAAATCAAACTAAGCTCCCAAAACACTTCTTACCTAACAAAAAAAAAATCTACACTTGCCTCCTTGAAGCGGATGATATTAGGATGCTTAAGTGATCTGTGATTGATAATCTCTCTAGCCACGTTCTCATCTATCTGCAGTCCATCATCAAACACACAAAACAATCAAAAAGCCAAATCATCATCATGATCATCATTAGTCATCAAAACCCCAAAGTCCTCAACTTTTCCTGCAAATCTTACTCAAAAAGAATCATACTTTCTATAGGTAAAAGCAAAACCCTTAACAATCCTAAACCCAAAACAGGAACTTAAGAAAACAGAGAGAGGGGAAAGGCCTAACCTTTCGGCCTCTCTCGATGAATTTCATGGCAACGAGCTCTTTGGTCTCCTTGTGCTTTAGAAGACGAGCCACACCGAAGTTTCCAGTTCCCAGATCCTTCACAACCTCATACTTTTCCATTTTTCCAAATCAATGGTATCTGAACAGAGTATTCTTCTAAGTATCTATCTATCCACTTAAGATATATTCGAGCAGGATCACGGGAGAGAATTTGAGAAAAGCATATGAGAATCTGAAAAAAAGGGGAAGGAAATTGTGTCTCGACAAGAAATGGTGACATCCACATGTGTTGTTTGTGCATCGATGGAGGCGTAGACAAAGGGGAGATGGTTAATGGGATTGGACCACGTGGTGGAAGATGGTGCTGAGCTCGATTCTCTATGACCAGCTTAAAGTTGAGTGTTCAACAGTAATGATGTTTTATTACTTGTATGAGACAGATTAGCTGCTGTATGGTTTAATGAATATTTTAATTATATTACATTCAATATTTATTAGGCCTAAACTGAAATCATGTGACTTTAACTCATCTAGAGTTAAATCTTCTGCAGATATATCATGAATCCAAATATTTATATTTTCTTAGTGTTTAGAGTTAAATCTTCTGCAGATATATCATTAATCCAAATAAATAATTATACTTTCTTAGTGTTTAGATGAGGCTAGAGGATAATTGATAATTGGATAGTTAAATCAAATCTAATCATAACGAAATAATCAGAGATTAAACTAAAATTACTTAAAATTTCAGATTGATTAACATTTATAATGGAATTAGATATTGATCCTCCTTGAAATAATATGTACATAAGAAGATTCGAACTCCAGTCACTTTAGATATCAATCGAGAAAACACGTTATATAATATGTTAATTTTTTTATAAAATTAATATATTTTTATGTTTAAAATTATATAAAACACTTATATATAACACTATATATAATCATCAGAATAATTATGTAAATAAGTTATATTTATAGTGTTACAAAAAAAGTTACACTTATCATATTTTTAGATCAAATAAACAATTAATAACACTATATATAATCTTTGAAAGATTGTCTTTGTTATATTTTTTATTGGTCTAAATTATAAGAAATAATCACAAATAAATATATTTATAATTAAAATATATTTATCTATCTCATTTAAAAATTAATATAATTTATCCTTTATTTTTTATTTAATATTAACTATACAATGTACTAATTTTATTTATCTAAAACGATATATTGTAGATACGTCACAATCCGGAATAAACATAGTTTATTAACAAAGACTCTATCTTGCAAGCAGATCTAGTAGCTTCTTTCTCCTTCACTTCCAGTGTAAAAACCTCAAACTTTCAAATTAGGGTTTCATAGCTCTGTTGTACTACTAAAAAAAAATCATGAGCAAAGCTTCGGTGATACTATACATCACTGTAGGGATCCTCGTCCTCTTCCTCGTCTCTTACTCTCCCAAGAAGAACACCGACCACCACCACCACCACGGTGGTCACAACCAACACCACCGCCTCAAACTCCGCTCCTCTTTCAACTTCAAACCCACTCGCCACGATCCGATCCCTTTTGACCCTCTCGTCGCCGACATGGAGCGCCGACGCGAGGATAAGGAGTGGGAGAGGCAGTACATTGACCATTCTAACCCTGAGCTAGCTTCACATGAGGCTGCGCCTGGTCATGAGTCGCAGCCTGAGTGGGAGGACTTTATGGATGCTGAGGATTACTTGAATGATGAGGAGAAGTTTAATGTTACTGATAGGTTTGTGAAATTTCAGATCTTTGGGTTTATTAAAAATGCAAACTTTGATTGTAAAAATGCAAACTTTAATTTGGTTTGTGATCTTTGGTTTTTAAAAATGCAAACTTTAATTTGGTTTGTGATCTTTGATTTTTTTAAATTGCAAACTTTAATCTCCTTTGTGATCTTAACAATGCAAACTTTAATTTTGTTTGTGATCTTTGATTTTTTTTTTTTTTAAATGTAAACTTTAATCTCTTTGTGTTCTTAAAAATGCAAACTTTAATTTGGTCTGTGATCTTTGGTTTTTAAAAATGCAAACTTTAATCTCCTTTGTGATCTTAAAAATGCAAACTTTAATTTCGTGTGCGATCTTTGATTTTTTTTTTTCAAAAAAATATAAACTTTAATCTCTTTGTGATCTTAAAAATGCAAACTTTAATTTCGTTTGTGATCTTTGATTTTTTTTTTAAAATCTAAACTTTAATTTCGTTTGTGATCTATGCAAACTTTAATTTCGTTTTTGTGATCTTTGGTTTTTAAAGGTGCAAATTTTAGTTTCGTTTGTGATGTTTGATTTTTATAAAAATGCAAACTTTAATTTTGGGTTTGTGTTATCTTCTTAGGCTATAGCATTTACTTTGTTTGATTGGGTGGTTCTTTTTGTAGGTTGATATCTTTGTTTCCGAAGCTTGATGTTTCTCCTATGGATGGGTTTGTGACTGAGAGTGAATTGACTGAGTGGAATATGCAGTCTTCTGCTAAAGAGGTTATGCATAGGACTCAAAGAGATATGGATGTTCATGATAGGAACAAGGATGGTTTTATTTCTTTCTCTGAGTATGAGCCTCCTTCTTGGGTCCGCAACGCTGGTGAGCTGCAGTTTACTTTTCTCTTCTTACTGACTAGAATGTGTGCTGCTAGTTATGATCATGCAGGAACATATGTATATGACTTGATAGAATTTTTTTGGTGTTTAGTTGATTAGGATAAGTGACATCTTCCTTTGTTTCGTAATCTAACCACTGATTTATTGCAATTGACTTAGGCCAGTAGAGTAAGTTACTTTATCACTTAGGAGGACTGCTAACGACTTAGATGTAAATTTATTAGGTAATGATTCATTTGGCTATAACATGGGTTGGTGGAAGGAAGAGCATTTTAATGCATCAGATGCAAATGGTGATGGTCTACTAAATTTAACAGAGTTCAACGAGTAAGTGTCTTCGTCTCTTGTAGATTAGAAGCAACCTTTCATCAAAAAGTATCTTCTCATAATGATCTTACTGGTTAATTCTTTACCTGTAGCTTTCTTCATCCTGCTGATACTAAGAACCCTGAGTTGCTGCTATGGTTGTGCAAGGAGGAAGTAAGGTACTGTAGTGTAGCCATATGTTATTGGCATAGCTCTTAAAGAACACTTACTTTTAGCTTTATTCTCATCAACGAGTTCTTATCCTTCCCTTTCACAGAGAAAGAGATTCAGATAAAGATGGTAAGATCGGTTTTGAAGAGTTTTATCACGGCCTCTTTGACACAGTGAGGAACTACGAAGAAGATAATCACAATACTACGCATCCTTATCATGACTTGCCTGAAGGCCCTGCAAAGCAGCTGTTTTCTCAGCTTGACAAAGATGGTGACGGGTACGTAACTTGAGAAGAGTTAAACATTAGGATAAACATTTCTGTTAAGACCATGCATCCCTTAACATAGCTTTCTCTCACTCCTCTACAGGTACTTATCAGACGGTGAATTACTTCCCATCATCAGTAAAATCCATCCCACCGAGCATTATTACGCAAAACAACAAGCTGATTATATTATATCACAGGTACATCATCAACTTTCAAAACAAAATGGCCTAGTTAGCTGTTGAGTTACTCAAATGTTATATTGTTCTCTCTTTCTATCTTATCTTACAGGCGGATTCAGACAAAGATGGACGTCTGACTTTGGCAGAGATGATTGAGCATCCATACGTCTTCTACAGTGCCATTTTCAACGAAGATGACACTGATGATGACTATGGCTTACATGATGAGTTTCGTTAGTGCCCTGATGAGTTAGTATCTGCCACATCCCTGTCTTTATTATTCAATCTGTTCAAAACTTTAGACACTAAACGATTTTGCTGTGACACAAAACAGTTGAAGCAATAACATCAGGCGCTATACGTTACAACTTCAACAAAACAAACCTTTCAAAACAGTTGATCTCAGTTACATCAGGCTTTCATGTTTAATCAACTTCTGTATACTTCTGAGTCCAGGACGTTTCTCTCCCACGGCGGCTGATCAACTAGTGTTTTAGAAGTTAGAATAGTATTTATGATTCTAAACATGTGAAAGTTAACATACCTCTCTTTGGACTTTGTTCAATCTTTTATGCCTTCATTATACATGGCGTTCTCGATCTTTGTATCTTATATTTACTAAAACCTTTAAAGCTTAATCTTTTATAAGCAGCAGAGAAACAGTGTTTATACATCAAAAGATAGCAATGAGCCATGAAAGATGGAGAGAGATGTGTTGACATTACATTGTTTTCTTTATTACACGCAACGAAGCAAACTCTTAGTTTATGATTAACAAACATCATCAGGAGCCAAGATTGACATTATGAAAACAATTTTGAAATCTTACTTCACCACACAGATCTTAATAACCGAGGCAACTCCAATACGATGCAGCGCCACAACTGCATCACCGTGGTTGCACAGTCCTCTCTGCACAGCTGACTTCAAAGCGGCTTCAATAATAACCTCAGTTGATTCAATATCCGTCGCCTTTGCGGATCCTTCAGCCAACATAGGGATCAAACCTCTGTATATCAAACTGTGCCTTGCAGGTGACTCGTCACTACAAATCCAGTCAAAGGAATCAGTTGTCATAAGTGGGACAACCACCGACAGAATCGGAACAGCTGGTCTGTATTTAGCTACAAGCTTAGCTGTTGAACCTCCACGAGTCAACACAATGATGAGCTTCGCGTGAGATTTGTTTGCAGCTCTTACAGCTGATGATGCAAGACTCTCCAATGGGCTCATTGGAACAGGAGTTGCTCTGATCCTCTCTTTGAAGATTGTGTTGTAATCAAGTGAGCTCTCTGCTTCAATGCAGATCTTAGCCATGACTTTCACAGCTATCTCCGGATAAGCTCCTGCTGCACTCTCTCCACTAAGCATCACACAGTCTGTGCCGTCAAGGACAGCGTTTGCAACGTCTGTTGCTTCAGCACGTGTTGGCCTTGGTGATTTGATCATTGACTCAAGCATCTGAGTGGCTGTGACCACTGGTTTACCTGCAAGGTTACACTTGTAGATCATCAGCTTTTGAGCTAAGAAAATCTTCTCTATCGGAATCTCCATCCCAAGATCACCACGAGCAACCATGAAAGCATCTGTTTCACGCAGTATCTCATCAAAGTTAACGACTCCTTCCTGATTCTCAACCTTCAAATACAAAAACCCCCAAAAACAAAAGTCAGAGCCATGCCTCAATGCAATGCCATAAGTCGAAAAGATTTGAAGTACCTTTGACATCAACATTATGCTTTTAGCATGAGAACCAAGAACTCTCCGGACATTAACAAGATCTGAACCTTTACGGACAAAAGAAAGCGCAATCATATCGATGCTGTTAGGAACACCCCAACCCATAATATCTTCAATATCCTTGTCAGTCAAAGTGGGAAGATCAACAACAACACCAGGGAGATTCACGTTCTTTCTCTCCCCAAGCATGGCTGTGTTTTCACACCGACACTTAACAGTTCCAGACTCTGGATCACATGACACAACAGCTAGACTTATGCTTCCATCAGCACAGAGTATGGTGTTCCCGGGATTAACATCCAACGGAAGCTTCTTATAGCTCATGGATATTGTCGTCTCATCTCCTAGAATTTCATAGTCAGTGGTGATAGTAATCTCCTGACCTTCCTTGAGTTGTATAGGGTTCCCATCTTTCAAGAAACCAGTACGAATCTCAGGCCCCTGCAGATTCAACAAGAGAAATCAAAATGCTGATTTGACTCTAGAAATGATTACTCTAAGCATGTTTAGACTTATAACCTTTGTGTCAAGCATGACAGCAGCAAGAATGCCTGTGTTTTGCATAGCGGTGCGGAGGTTGTCGAGTGTGCCCTGGTGATACTCATGGCTGCCATGAGAGAAGTTGAAGCGAGCAACGTTCATACCGGCTCTGAGAAGCTTTTCAATCATAGGAACAGTGCGAGAAGCTGGTCCTAGAGTGCAAACAATCTTGGTCTTTGGGATCCTACCATCATTTGGTAGCTCCTTCAATATCCCTTCAATGTCTATGTTCGACATTTCTTTGCTTCCACAAGTAACTATTCTTCTTCTTTTACTGCAAATGGAAAACAAATTTGAACATAAATAACACTCATACTTATCAACAAGAGAATACAAATCCGATTTCCTTTATTTCTAGACTTAGTTGACTAAAGGAGAATGTAGCTAACAGTACAAACAAGGGAGCATAAGTTCAACAGATTCTAACCAAACAGAACATAGAATTCAAGGAAGTCAACACTTCAAAAGAAGCAGAGTATCTGAGATTTTGGATCCAGGACAAAGAACATAAGGTAGATTAGAGATGAGATCGGGAGAGAGAGGTTTTACCTTGTTAGCTCCGATTCTGGATGAGTTGTTGTCGTGTCGGAGCAAGAACCACCCCTTGTTTTTCGGGTTAGACTTGTGTGATGACTATTAAATTAGCTTTTGTGAAACCAAGTTGGTAGCGACAGCCACGTGAAAACGAATTTTAAAAATTATATAAAAAGAGGATATTCTTTGATATACGTTGTCTTTTTATAGTTAATGTTTTTTTCCGGAGTTTACCAAAGGAGCTGCAAGAGAATGTTCTTTTCGTTGGCAAAACAAAACTCGAATCTTAAGATCAGTTTAAAATAATAAAAACATAGTTACTAAACTGCTTCCGTCAATAGCAGCCTCCATGGATTCAATTCTCACACTCTGGCTTCTTGAAGCTGATGACTCTTGCAGGAGATGAAGACAGTTGATGAAAAATGGCTTCAAATGCGTTTGGGTGGAATGTACTGTACTCGCTCTTCTTGGCATAGTGACTGTAAAAAGTGAGAAAAATAAAAGAAAATGAGAACAATTGATATGAAACATGGATCCCTTATTTTTAGGAGCCATGTCCTTATCTGAAAACCAGAACTAAGGATTGATTATTATATATCGCCTGACCAAATACATTTACCTGCATATCCTCTGAGAGTGTCTCTGAAACAGCAAGAGCGTAGCAACCAGGAGCAAATTTACCTGAAAACAAGAATCAGCAATCTCAAATAAAGCTCCGAGAAAACAACATCAAGACTACTATTGAGACGTAGAGAACTAGAATTATCAATGCAGTCACCAGTCAAACGAGTGGACACAAAACAGTTAATAAGTGATCTAAGGCAGAGTCATTGTATACATATCTTTGAAGTGGTCGGTATTTATATATATATTTCCACGTACACATCTTTTGATGTGATGACTGATGAGCGTAGCAGTCATATCAAAGTCTAGTGTAATTGGTTGGACACAGAGAACAGAGAACATTAGAACAAGGCAAGAGTGTAATGGCTTTTAACATACCAATTCTTAACCACCTTGCCGCCCAACTTCTGCGTGGATCCATCATAGAGATTGTTCTGCAAAAAAAAAAAAACAATCATAACAGAGATATTAGACAGACAGAGACAAAAACCACTGTCTCTCACACTGTTAACTTGTTTCGATTTGGCATGAAAGAAGTTAAAACGCATTCTTAAAAGCAGAAAACTTTAGGTCACTTCCACATTAATATCACAACCCTATAGAGACTTTTATGAACAATCCCAGAAAAATTCAAATTTGAGGTTTGAAAATAAGGTCATACCCGTTGAAGTTAGGGGTGGTAACATCGACGATACGCTCAGGATCTTCGTCTATCTTGAAGAATGGACAATTCTCGCAGCCAGAATCCCTAAACTGTTGTTAAAGCCCAGATTACACCGAAAGAAACATGCAAACCAAAGCAAGAGAGATAGAGAGAGAGAAACCCATGATACCTGATCGTAAGTCTTGACGAGGCGGCAGCGAAGACAAGCCCTGAGCTCCTGGCCGAAACTCGTCGGAATCTGCGCAGCCACTTCTCCCATTCTCATCCCTCTCTTTACTTTGGTTTCGTTACACCTCGAGCAAGAATGGACGAAGATTTTTTTCACTTGCGTAGAAAACTATAAATACCTCTCCAATATGGGCCTGATTGTAGTGGGTCAAGCCCATTACCTGGTACTTTGGACTTTACTAAGTCTTTGAGAGTTAAAAGAGAAAGAAGTTGTGCAGTGGATTGTTGTTAACAAAAGATGTCATCAGATTTATATGGTATATACACCAAAGAACCATCGTATCATTGTTAAGAAGACAGAACAATGCTTTTAGGTATATTAACTGGACATTACTGTATATTCAACTAGACTGGGAAATCTGGAACTTCCGGTCGCGAGAGAAATCTATATGAACAATTACATGCCCAAAAGTTTGTGTGTTGGTTTTCTAAAACTTGTTCTAAATCTGTGATTCGACGAGGTATCGAGTATGGTAATTATTATAATCTGTAGCCTGCCTTATTTGAAGCCGTAATCGAGTGGGGTCTGACGATTTGAAGCGCTGTTGGAGATTACGATCAGACTAGAACGTTCGTTACATTTTACCCGAGAAGGTTTATAGACTACTCCAGACTGAATCAGGTTTCATGGAGGTGCAAGAATGTTGTAAGCTTTCGTGAGATATATTGGAGAGCTCTTGATTTTGTCATAATCTTGTGATGGAAATGAGAACCATCCAAAAACCCTTATCTTCCTCGACCACTATATTTGAGGAATAGTTAGGTTGACACAATCCTGGACTACATCACACGTCACTGGAAGGTGCTTTTCTGACACAGTCCCATATTGCATCAGTAACATGCCTTTTTGTAATCTATACGATCAGTTTTACCTCTCACCATGCTCAGAATACAAATAATTTAAGTAAAAAAAAATGCATTTCTTGACTATTTCTCTCTACATAAAATGTCAAGACTTGGCTGTATTAACGCGTCTTTGCTCTTTTCCGATGCTATTTCTTATTTCTATCTGAAACTTTGTGATCATTTTCTTCGTGTTGTTATTCATGGCTTCTTCTTCATCTCTGTCTCGGAATTGGTTGTATCACGCCTTCCTGAGCTTCCGTGGAGAAGATGTGCGCAAAGGCTTTCTTAGTCATGTTCGTAAAGAGCTCAAAAGCAAGGGAATCATAGCCTTCGTTGATGACAAAATCAAGCGAGGCGAATCTGTCGGTCCAGTGCTTGTAAGAGCCATCAGACAATCAAGGGTTGCCGTTGTGTTGCTCTCCCGTAACTACCCTTCTTCCAGCTGGTGTTTGGATGAGTTGGTGGAAATCATGAAGTGCAGAGAAGAGGATCAACAAACAGTGATGACCATTTTCTATGAAGTGGATCCATCTGATGTTAGAAAGCAGAGCGGAAATTTTGGAAAAGCCTTTGATGAAACATGTGTGGGAAAACCAGAAGAGGTGAAGCAGGCATGGAGGCAAGCGTTGAAGGATGTCGCGGGAATAGCTGGTTACCACTCTAGCAACTGGTTCGCTCACTTTTGCTTCTACTTCCATATTACACGTACATAATGACTGTTTTAATGAATAGCCTCTGTTTTTGTTAGTGACAATGAAGCTGATTTGATCAACAAAGTTGCCTCAGATGTCACGGCTGTGTTGGGTTTCACAACTTCAAAAGACTTTGATGATTTTATTGGCATAGAAGGTCGTATCATGGAGATAAAATCGAAGTTGACCCTACAATCAGAAGAAGCTAATAAGGTGATTGTGCTTGTGGGTCCTCCCGGTATTGGTAAGACGACCACTGCCAGAGTTTTATACAACCAACTCTCTCCTGGTTATCCATTCAGCACTTTTTTGGAGAATATCAGAGGAAATTATGAGAAGCCTTGTGGTGACAACTATCTGTTGAAGTTGCGTTTGCATCAAAATTTGTTGTCTCAACTACTCCACCAAAAGGATATTGAGGTTCATCACTTAGGAGTGGCGCAAGAAATGCTGAGTGACAAAAAAGTGTTGGTTGTTTTTGATGAAGTGGATAGCTGGTGGCAACTCGAGGAAATGGCAAAGCAGCCTGGATGGGTTGGTCCCGGAAGTATTATTATCATTACAACCGAAGATAGAAAACTTCTCAAGGCACTCGGACTCGGGATCGATCATATCTACCAAATGGAATTTCCAACTATGACTGAGTCTCTTGAGATCTTCTGCCAATATGCTTTCGGTAAAAAGTCTCCAGAAAAAGGTTTTGAAAGGCTTGCTTGGGAAGTCACTGGACTTGCTGGTGATCTTCCTCTAGGCCTGAGAGTCATGGGATCGTATCTACGAGGATTGTCCATGAACGAATGGATAGATGCACTACCAAGGCTCAGGTCCAGCCTTGACAGAGAAATTGAATCAACTCTAAGATTCAGCTATGACGTCTTGAGTGATAATGATAAAGATATTTTCCTGCATATTGCATGTTTCTTTTCTCGTTGCAAGGTTGATAGTGTTAAGAGGTGTCTTGAACAAAGCCGTTTGGATGTCAACCATGGGCTTCAAGTCTTAGCCGAAAAATCTCTTATATCTATAAAAGAAGGATACGTAGAGATGCATAGTTTACTGGCACAAATGGGTAGAGAAATTGTTAAGAAAGAGTCTCCAGAGGAGCCTGGACAGCGGAAATTCTTGATGGACTCCAAGGATATTTTTGATGTACTTGAAGAAAATACTGTAAGTCTTATTTTTTTTTTACATCAGCAGTCTTCTATTTCCTTGGTTTGTAAGATGAGATTTATTAGTTCTTTTTGAATAATCTCTTCTAGGGTATTCGGAAAGTTCTAGGCATAGCGTTGTTTACGAACGAGAAAATCCAAATAAGTAAAAGCGCTTTCGAGGGGATGAATAATCTTCAGTTTCTAGATGTCAGCTCATGGAATGGCTTATGCATACCCGAGGGCCTCAACTGTCTTCCTGACAAACTCAGATTTCTACATTGGAACGGTTGTCCATTGAGATTTTGGCCTTCCAAGTTCTCTGGCAAGTTTCTGGTCGAACTAATCATGCAAAACAGCAGTTTTGAGAAGCTCTGGGATGGAATCAAAGTAAAAAAAAATATTCAGCATTTTTTTTTTGTATTGCGCGATTAGTTATTTCTCTCTAGAACTCATATTTTTCATTGTTTTTTTTTTCTGTATAGCCCCTCCAATGCCTAAAGCTGTTGAATTTGAGTTTCTCTCCGTGTCTTAAAGAGATTCCAGATCTCTCACAAGCAATGAGTCTGGAGGAACTATATCTCAATAACTGCAAAAGTTTGTTAGAGCTCACAAGCTCTATTGGCAATGCCACTAAGCTCAGAGTCTGCCAACTCAACGATTGTTTGCTTTTGAAGGAGCTCCCTTCTTCTATCGATAGGTTAGTCAATCTCGAGGAATTAAATCTCTCTTCTTGTGAGGATTTGGAAAAGTTCAGTGGTTGCTCGAGTTTGATAAGACTAGATATGAGCTATACTGAGGTAGAGGAAATGCCATCATCAATGAGCACTTGGTCTCGTCTATATCGATTGAATATTTCAGGGTGTACAAACATTTCAGACTTCCCAAATGTTCCTGACTGCATTGTGGAGTTGGATTTGTGCAATACAGATATAGAGGAGGTTCCTCCATGGATTGAGAAGCTACTTCATCTGCGTAAACTAATTATGTATGGATGTGAGAAACTGAAAAGTATATCTCCAAACATTTCTAAGTTGGAGAATCTTGAGTTTCTTGGTCTGTGTATCCGTGGTTTTATTGAGCATGAAAGAAATATAAATGGCTTATTTGAAGCAATAATTGAGTGGGGGTCTGACTCGAAGTGCAGCTGGACATTACGATCAGACTTCAACGTTCACTACATTTTGCCGATATGTATACCCGAGAAAGCTCGTACATCTCCAATATCATTACGCTTCCGCAGTAGTGTTCTCAAGACTATTTCAGATTGCATCGGATGTCTCTCGGGACTAACTAAGCTTGTCATCACAAAATGCAGTGAGCTCCTCGCACTTCCACAGCTTCCAAGTTCCCTTCTGTCTATAAATGCACAAGGTTGTGAATCCTTGAAAAGAATAGGCTCTTCTTTTCAAAATCCAAATATTTGCCTAAACTTTGCTAACTGTTTCAACCTGAATCAAAAAGCGAGAAAGCTCATCCAGACATCACCTTGCAAGTATGTGGTCTTACCGGGTGAAGAAGTACCTGCACACTTCACTCACCGAACTAGTTCTGGTTCTGTAACGATCAATTTGACTCCAACACCACTTCTTTCATCCTTCAGATTCAAAGCTTGCATCTTGCTGTCAACAGACAATACTAATCTCGATTATCATAATGATGATGATGAGGAGGAGGAGGATGAGAATTTACTGATGGGTGTGTCTTGTCGGGTCAGCTGTAAACATAATGGTCTCACAGTCCGCTATAGATCAAACCAGCTCCATCATATGCCAGATCTCTATGGATATGCAGAGCATCTGTATATATTTGAGGATTCTTTCTCTCTAAACCAGGATTACCCTGAAGCCGAAGAAACCACTTTGCGTGAGCCTACTTTTGTGTTCAGAGTCCATGATAAAACCTGGAAGGTCAAAGGCTGTGGTGTACAACTTTTGGAGGAGGTCCCTCAATGTATTCTTGACAGAAATGCAGATTATGATGATAAGGATGGTGACGATGATGAAATTGATGATGATGGCACAATTTCTGATTGTCTCAACCTGAATCAAAAACTAAAAAAGGTGATGCCGATTTTGGATTGCAAATATGAGCTCGTACCAGGTGAAGAAGTGCCTGCAGACTTCACTCACCGAGCTACTTCAGATTCATTAACAATCAATGTGACTCCAAGGTCTCTTCCTTCATTCTTCAGATTCAAAGCTTGCATCTTGCTGTCAAGAGACTATGATGAAGATAATGAAGAGGGGAGTGTGCCTTGGCGCTCCAGGGGTCTCTTTGATCTCAGAGATGAAGATGAGGATGATTGTTTATTGATTTGCGTGTATTATAAGGGTGAACATAAT